CAAGACTTCAGGAAAACAACTGTGGACTTCCACATGTGCGGCTCATCTATTGGTGCAATTTCCAGATAACTGAAGGTCCCATGTTCATCAGTTCAGACAATAATACACAAGTATGAAAACATGGGAGCGTACAACCATCATACTGCTCGTGTAGGAGACAGATTCTGAGTCGAGCTGAAAGGTTACTCTGGGAGGAGAAAGTCATCACTGCAAAACCATCATAAAAAAGTTAAAAGACTACAGTTTGCAACATGGGGACAAAAATCTTAATCTTTGGGGACATGTCCTGAGGTCTGACCAAACAAAATCTGAACTGTAATGATAATAAACTGTATATTCGAGGAAAAAGGAGGAAGCTTTGAAGCCTCAGAACGTCATCCCAACTCTGAAGTATGGGGGCGACAGCATCATGTTGTGGAGCTGTTTTTTGCTGCAGAAGGGACTGATGCATTTCACAAAATAGATGGCACGTACACGTTTAAGCAACATCTGAAGACATCAACCACAACGTTGGAGCTTGGGTGCAAATTGGTCTTCCGAATGGACAATAACCCCAAACATACCTCCAAATTAGTTAAAAAGTGTTTTAAAGACAACAAAGTCAGGGTGTCGGAGCGGCCATCACAAAGCCCTGATCTGAGTCCCATAGAAAATTTGTGGGCAGCACTGAAAAGGTGAGTGACAGCAAGAAGGCCTACAAACCCGACCCAGTTACACCAGTTCTGTCTCTCAGTGAGCCCAGATTCCAGAAAACTATTGAGAAAGTTTATGGAAGGAAATCTGAAACGTTTGGCTGAAGTGAAACAGTTTGAGAGTAATTCTACTAAATACTAAGACGTGCATGTATACTTCTGACTCTGATGAAAGTAATAAAAAACCCACAACAAATATCTCTCTCTATTCTGACATTTCACAAATACAAAAAATATGTTAATATTTATTGATCAAAACAAAAAAATTTACTCTGATTTAATGTTTGACAGTAAAGAAAAATGTTTTTTTTTTCCTGAAGTGTCTGTAAATATCTGGTTTCAGCTGTATCTTTAATAAAATGAACATGTGCAAGATTCTCACTCTTGTCTTTGTCTCTTCACACACAGTTAATCACATCAAACATTACAATAAACAGAAGCTTTAAATCTCATCTCCACTTAATGCTATTTGATCAGCTGTGTGATAACATCAATATTTAATAAGGAATAAGTTCAAATTTCAACAGCACAAAATGCTGTCAGTTTAAAAAATAAATAAATCAAAAATCAAACTTCCTCCTTTACTGTGAAGCAGGTTTTACAGTGTTTCATCCTGTTTTACCCTCATTGTGCTTTTGGTATGTGGCTAAAGTTTGTTAAACAAAGAATGAGTGAAGGTTCTACATCCTGCTTCCTACAACAGATAAAGACTGTATCCACACGATGGCCATAAAAGAGCAACATGTTCTTATCCCAAAGTGTAACATATCGACACTGTGACAAATCGTCGGTACGTTACGCTTTCGCCCACCCAACATGTCTGTATGTTAGATGTTTGAAAACATGAGAACCGTTTGGAATGAATCTACACATGTACATTTATTTTACTTTCTTAACGCTTTGAAAAACACTGTCTGACATGATTAAGGCTGTGGTTAGGGCTGGAATAAACAGCTGGATCGTGTCTTACCACCAGGAGCGTATCATAGGGACACTGAAGGTTTGTTGTAGAACTTTTCGCCTCAGGATGTGACGAAACGCTGGCATGTTACAAGTTGGGAAAGTCAGCGGTCTCAAAGGAGTTGTTATTATTTTGCTTCTTTGTCACTGCTTGTAAGAACCTTCTTCATGCTGTATTGATCCCTTTGTAAAGGTTTTAACTTTCTTTTAAAAAATCTCAGAAAATCACTTTGATTTATTTTTTCCACAACATCCAGAAAATCTCTGTACAGAGAAATTTCTGCTGTGACTGATGTTTGGCTGTAGACTGCCTGAACATGCAGATCTTAAACTGAGTGGGGAGAGTTAGGACAATGAGACCCTGAGATCCAGCACATATTCTTACATGTACACATCCTGGATTCTTTTTTTTATATTTCAGACCTTCAGATTTGGTGAGTAAATATTGATGTGCATCCTATTCATGAAGAGAGTTGAGTCAGCACATTTTGAATGTTTACAACTGAAAGACAAACCTCGTGAGAATTCTTCTCCACCTGATCCTTCAGTGTCGCTGTTGTTTTTTTTAACTGCTGGAGCTGTTTGATGATGTCAGTTTTCTTCTCTGACTGCAGCTGAAATGTTACATGAAGAAAGAGCAGAAGGAAGAAATGTTTATTTTTAAGACACAATAATGAAAACACAACCAGTCACATTAAAGCTGTATTATGTAAATATAAGGGAGCTGATGTAGCATGATGCTAACAACATTAAGTGTTGTGGGATGATGTCAACAATCTTGCAGTGGTAGGATTTCAAAGTTGTGTTTGGTTAATGACACACAAACTGCTGCTGGACAAAACTGCAGGAATATAAGTGCACAGGTCTGTGATCATTGGGAGGATGACAGCATCACATATGTTCATGTTTACCTCTGTGTGCTGAGTGATGCTTTCACTGACCTTTGATTCCAGTGTAGGAAATGTTTCCGTCAGCTTCTGAATGATTTCATCCTTCTCAGAGTTGATCATCTGTCAGAAAGACACACAGATGATGTTTCTGCAGCACTTGTTGATAAAAGTGACAAAATTATTGAAGTTTCACACTGTGAGCAACATGTTTATATATAGAAATACATAAACAGACAACAAATAAAAAAAATAATTTTCCTTCCTTACTCTGCAACTGCAACAATGGAAGGCAAAACACATGTGTGTGATTACACAATGCAATCACACATTCATTCATAAAAAGTTAATAAATTAAGTTCTATATAGAAATAAGAGAATTTGAATTAATTAGACATTTGTTGTCAAATAAACAAAATTATATCTAAAGTTTCCTTCATAACTCTTTACAATACAGAGATAAGGAGAATTTTGTCAGCATATTAAAATGTTTACAATGGAAGAACAAACCTCGTGACATTTGGACTTGAACTGATTCTTCAGTTTCTCTGCTGCTTGTTTCTCCTGCTTGAGCTGATTGATGGTTTCAGTTTTCTTCTCCATCTGCAGGTGAAATGTTACATGAAGAAAGAGCAGAAGGAAGAAATGCTCATATTTAAGACACAATAATGAATCAAATTAACTCAAAAAACTGCAACCAAGTGAAACTGTACAGCACTATACAGTACCTTTCCAAGCTGTTGTTTTAAAATATATTTATGTCCAAACTTTTTTTTTATTATTTACTGCATTATTTTTTTTTAATTTTTTTTATTATTTTTGTCAATTGTACATATTTCTTGAGGCTTTTTTTCCAACTGCAGGTGAAATGTTACATGAAGAAAGAGCAGAAGGAACAAATGTTCATGTTTAAAACACAATAATGAAAACACAACCAGAGTCACATTAAAGCTTTAAATAACAGCTGAATTGTGAAAATATAAGTTGGTTCATACAAATAAGTAACGATGAAAAATGTATTTAAATGTTTTATTTGAATTATCTAAATAATTTAAATAAATGAAGGCCCAAAGGATATATTTGATTTTGAATGTAGTGTCTCCAAAAATAAAAGTAGATTTTACTTAAACACACACAAACAAAATATAACATTTATAAAATCTGATTTATAAAAAAAACCAACTACACTGTTTTGTGTTTGTTGGTAAAGTTTTACGTCACTCCTAAAAACAGAGGGACAAATAATTTAATAATTTTTTTTTCAATATTTTTTTTCTACTCACTTCCAAATACAGGTGACACTGTTGCCTATGTTGCTGCTGCCCTAAAACAACACTTTTTACTTAAAGTAAATGTTCTTGTGGAAACACATGCTTTCACAAAGTGAACACAAGCTTTACATTAGACAGTTATTCAGTATGTGGCCAGCTTGTGTGACCTTGCTTTTAAACGTGAGTTTGATGACAGAACAGAAGAAATGATCAGCTAGCTGAACACGTGTTTAGCTCCAGCACAGGAGAAAGACCTGATTGGATAAAGCTGCTACACGGGCAACACAAACGGAAGCTGCAGTTCAAAAATAAACAAAACTGTGTGATAAAGTTTGTCCGTGTCTGCTGCTCATCCAAGACAAGAGATGTTTGGCGAGTCCACCTACCAAAACTGACTGCACTTTACTTAACAGACGCTTTCTATGCATTAAAAAGATTAAAATGCAGCATAAATGTGAGCACACCTACTTCCTCAGCTAAGGACATCCATCTGATTTTGGACACAGGCTTAGCAGTTTGTATTTTTCCTAACACATCTACAAAGACCACTTCAGTGATACACCACTAAAACCACCTGATCTTCAACTGGTTACATACACAAAGAAAATAATTCCTGTGTTAGGCTGAACATCACCCTTTTAGGCAACACTCTTCTACCCCCATGTGCTGCTCCTACTGCTTCTGTGATCTCTACAAACACATCACCTGCTTCTTGCATCCCTGCTGCCCAGATATTGACTGTGTGCATAAAGTGAAACAACTCTGAAAAACAACTCTCATGCCTCCAAATGAGGCAAGATTTTCTTGTAAAACAAAGGCGGGCCTGGCAAAAAAAGTTTAGGAACCACTGCTGTAGACAAACACCAGGGTCCTCATCCTATACACACACACAGACAAGTCTTACATGTTGCCCCATCTCACAGGCCTATACCTTCCCTTTAAGGAGAGAGATTTACGCTCTTTTCACTGAGCTGTTGCCTCCCTTCTTCCACAGACAAGCAGGAGGGCCCCACTCTATCTATCTACCCCCCCTACACACACACACACACACACACACACACACACGCCTGAATGTCTCTGACTTACTGCAATGGCCACTGTTTGTGTCTGTGTAGAACACATGTGATAGAGCATAAGACACGTTTGTGCAGCTAACCTAAGTGACAAAGTGATACTACTAAAGTGATATGGTTAAAATATGTGATCAATACATAGAATAAAGAAATTTCCATCACATGGCACAGAGAAACCTGCGGCGTTTGCTTTCCCCAAACTGTCAGCAACAGAACAAACATGTTCAACTGTTGAAAAAGAAGCTCTTGCTGGTGTGTGTGCTGCAGAGAAAAGGAGAACATATTTGTGAGGCTGATGTTTCACTCTGAGGACAGACCACCAAGCTCTGACAACGCTGCTGAGCACCAAAGGGATTCATAGGGCGAGAATGAGTATCACCTGCTGGTCTGCTGTCATTTACCGCCCAGATTCTCTGAGTCATACAGCTGACTGTCTATCTCGTCTGCTTCTGCCTGTTTCTTCTCATCTCATTTCGGATGCAGATCTTGAAATGGTAACTCAAATTTCTGCTGCCATGTCGTCACTTCCAGTTGCTGATTTTCACTCTGCCTGTTCGACTTGACCTGAACTGTTTGCTTTGCGCTCACAAATACAAAGTGTTTTGTCTGCCTACATCAAATCACTTGCACCTTACTACAAAATCCATAATGAACTCTCAACTCTAATTATGTTCTCAGAGGCTCAAGGCTCATTGCACCATGTTCAGTGAGACCTAAACTGATCGCACTAACACATGAAAGTCACCAAAGGATTGTGAACACAAAGCAAAGATTAAGAGACTTCTACTGGTGGCATCGACTGACTCCTACTCCAAATGGCCAGAGCTTGCCTTTTCATGTTCTGCTAATACTACTGATGTTATTCAGTTTATCTCATCTGTCTTTAGTCCTCACAGCAACCCAGAGAACATAGTAAGAGACAACGGTACACAGTTTACCTCTGAATTGTTCAGCTCTTTCCTCCAAAATAGAGGCAACTCACAGCAGAACATTTGTCTACTACCCAGCTGCAAATGGAGCAATTGAACAGTTTCATTGTGACCTCTGCACCTGCATCCAGACAGCAATCCAGCCGTCACAGCCATGGAAGAAGACTGTGTTGGATTGGCTTCATGCTAAGCATCAAGTATGGAAGCCATCTCACAGGAGAGAGAGTGAGGATGAGGAAACCACATCATTCTGTTAAAGGACCCCAAATTTACTCCTCCTGACCTAGTAGCACGCAACTTAAGTTTTTAAGTTACATAAATAAATAAATGAAGCAAGTATGTGTGACAACAACACACACCGTCTCAATGAACTCAACAAATTTCTCTGTACATTTTCAACCAACAACAACACCCTGCAATAAAA